CACTGCTCAATGGCCCTGAGTGCCGAGTATAGGTCAAAATTTGAAGCCCTTCACCGGTATAAGGTGACGTCTCTATATGAGTGAAAAATTCTCGAATGGGACGTAAAACAACATACAATCAATCAGTCAATCAATCATTAGGGGGGCCAGATGTCTCCTTATATTGTACATCATTAGGGAGTCCAAAGGTCACCTAACATTGTACATCATTAGAGGGGGGGGGGGGGGGGCAGAGGTCACCTTATATTGTACATCATTTGGGAGACCAGAGGATACCTTTAAGTTATATTGTACATTATTAGGGGAACCAGAGGTCACCTTACATTGTACAGCATTAGGGAGACCAGAGTTATATTGTACATTATTAGGGGTATCTGAGAAAACCTTATATTGTACATTATTAGGGGGACCAAAGATCAAATAAAGTTGTGTATAATATGGAGACAAGAAGTTACCTTATATTGTCAATCATTACGAAGATCAGAAGTCACATAAAGTTGTATGTAAATGCGGAATACAAAGGTTACCTTATATTTTACGTTACTGGTATTAGGGAGACCAGAGGTCACCTTACGCTGTAGATCATTAGGTAAACCTATGGTCATCTAATGTTGTAAGAAGACAATAGGTTTTAAAACTGTATAAGAAGAATTATTTCCCAAACTCAGACTCTAATTTTAATGACAAGCAAAAACAGAAAGGTACACAATTTCTCCATATTCACTGAATTTATTTCGTCGGAATGAGGGGGGGGGGGTGTTTGGACAATTTGTATGTCTTCATTTACATGTTCATTTACATGTATATAATTCTTAGAAGCAATTCTCATGGGGTCCGTGTTTCTAGGTCTATTTTTGGTAAGTCTCTTTTTGGTTAGATTGTTTCCCGATTTGCAGATCAGCAGGGGTGGTGATTTGAGTTTAGCATCTCCCTTCCATTAATTTTTAATTTTTCACTTATCAATTACAAGGGGCACATCTGTTCTGTAATATCAGTAAGGAGGCCAGGGGTATATTGTAAGGTCGCCTACTGTGGTATGATATATCATTTGGGCGACCAGGGGTCACCTAACGTAATTTAGTACCAAATCATTTTACCATTATCTTAAAATATCTATGAAAAGTCCAAGGGGGTATGATAACCCCCCCCCCTTTTCCCGCTAGATCTGCGCGAGCAGAGACAAAAGGTCACCTACTCTGATATATTAATAAGGAGACCAGAGGTTGGCTAGTGTGTTAGTTTGATACGGTCGCTTAACTTTGTTCATCATTAAGGAGACCACGGGTCACCTAACGTAATTCATTACCATATAACTTGTTTCATATATCTTAAAATATAACACTCAATGTTGCTTGCTTTCCCCCCTATTGTATATTTCCTAACATCAGATGATTATTCGATGAAGAAATGCATTTTCTGTTTGTTGTATTACATTTGGAAAGACTTTCCAGTAGAAGATTTTATTCTACTTTCACTTCGCGGTTGCGATGCACTATATTTTGTAGCGAAGTAAACAGGTTTGATAGTTCTGAATAAGCAAGTGACCTTAGGTCTTAGTTGAGCGTACGTTTTATCCTTCTCCAAATATTTCCGGTACATGTAAACATAATAAAAGAACCATAATGATCCGACCTGAAATTACGGATTTCTCTCCCCTTTCGATCTCTCGAACCCCACTATCTCTCGATTTTTTTTTTAAAGTCCCTTGAACTTCGAGAGTCACCTGACTAGTTAACAAGATTCCATTGTGGTTCCGATTTGAAGCTAAGAAAAATTAAGTATTCATAATAAAGTACATATTCTAAAGCTTATGTATGATGGGGACCTAAGTCTCACTTTTGCTCACAAGTTAGACGAAAAAAAAAACAAGGAACGTAGAAAAAAATGCATTTACCCATGAAATCGAGCTTGACCATTCCAATAAAAAAAGCTAATTTGTTTGCTAACAATGGGGAGAGTTATCAATTTCTTTTGCTAACATTAGAAAAAAAAAATACATGCAGTATATTGGTGGTTTCTGTAAATATCTGCATTTGCTTATAAGGATTTTTTTTTCTGTTTACTTTTTTTAATTTACTTATAAAGTTCAATGTCACGTAATCACTTGGTGACTTTTTAAATAAAATATGAAAGATTATTTAAATCTAGGGGCTGGTTTTCTTTTAAAATACAGATGTTGCGCAGGGAAAGTATGGAATGCAGTTTCTGAAAGATGTGAATGTACATTTGTAAACAATTAGCACCAACTATAAATGTTCCCTACTAAAATAAACTCCATAAAAAAAAAAATAATGACCTCAATTATGAATATCATAATTAATGTTGCTATCTTAAGCAACATAATAATATATAATAATCATGAATATCAGAATCCTTTTTGTACAATTCAAGTACAGGTTGAATTAAATCAAGTAATAAGGATTCAAAATCGTGTTTAAGATTGTCCTCCTGGTAGATAGGGACCAACCTGTAACAATACCTGTAGAGTCCCTTACTATGGAATGCGCTGTATGAGGGTGTGTAATTGTTCCGAGAAGGAGTGTGTTTCTGCGTCCTGTTGCCCACTATTCCCCATTTCTTCATACCAAGGTAATGAAAAATACGATTGATCAAGAGGATAACATACTGAACAGATGTAACAAAGGAGCTTAACTTTTATGCATAAAATTTTATGTGTCCTTATACAGTTGGGTTCTGCCAGTTCTAAACTTGCAAAATACCAAATTACTGTGGCAGTCTAGTTTCTACCAAGCAGAAAAAAAAAGTACAGAAAACTGAACACCATGCACCCGAATATAGCATCTCGAATACAGTCGACTTTTCGTCTTGTCGACTATGATTTATATGGACTGAGCACATATACATTATCCTTGACCAAACCAAACAGTTACTGACATAGAAACTTTTATTTTAAACTAATTTAATAAAAAATGAAATTAGTTTTTCTATAATATATATACTGACTGTATCGAATATATGATTCAAAAGAATCCGAACAAAAAAAAATCCAGAGGGCGGACACAACCTGTGTTTCGTGTATAGGGTTTCGTGTAAACAGTGCAGCGTTTCATGTAAACCAAACAACGTTCCCGTGTAAGCCGCGTAGTGTTTCTTGAACCATCTAGCTTTCCGTGTAAGTCGCGCAGCCTTTCATGTAAACCCTGTAGCGTTTCATGCAAACTATGTAGTGAGAGTGGTTTAATGTGCATTTTGGGTAATAGCACGTTTAACTTCTTAAAGTCTAGAGAATTTTAGCGCTAAAACGCTGAGTTTGCATAGCGTGTGTACGAGTATGCTACGAAACATTCAGAATACGAGCGTTCAGTTACAAATGCTCCGTTGTAAACAGAACAATATCGTCTGGTCTACTGCTCAACGGCAATATTTATGATGGGAAGTCACCGTAGCTAGGTAAGATGTTTCTATTTCTACACAAAAAATGGAATTAATTATAAATAATTCAGTGATTATAAGCCCCGATAATAACCTCATTTAGCAAAATGGTAGGGTCAGTGGAAGGTGCAATATTGAATACTTCAAGGACAGCCGATCTTGTACACATTTAATGTAAATACAGATATTAAATAATAATAATAATAAATTTTGAGATTTTTCATTTCTCTTTATTTTATTTCAATTAGAATAAATAAAATTCAAAGTGCGTAATTCTCCAAAGTTCGCTGCCACAGACGGATAATACTAGTACTTCACTTTGTTATCATATTAATATTGTAATAAATAATAAAGCATTAAACAATATTAAACACACAATATTTAACATCAAATTTGATCATTAGTTCAATCATTCTTTCAGTCTTTAAGGAAAATAAAATATAAAATTTTGAATTCGTTGCAGGACTCGAAGAGAATGGTACAAGAAAAGGGTATCTACGAGGTTAAATACAACAGTATAAATGACTGTTTAGATCCTTTAGAATGTTTGTTCTCTTTTATTCTTATAAAATAAACAATTGAAATTCTGCTTGATCTATTCATAAAATTTTTATTAAACATCCTTTCCTGGTATCGACTTTCTTCATATTTTTATTTTATTTAAAGTAATATTATAGGGAAAAAAATGTTAGATTTTAAATTTTTGATGTTTTCTAAAGTTTTTTTTAATTCTTAGATAAGTGTTTTCCCAGATTCTTATTTTGTGTTTGACATGATGTTTTATATTGCGGTTATGTCAAGATTAAGGCTACATGTATATTCTATTTGTCACCAAACTCTACTAATTGCAATACACATATTGAATTTCTATTAAATGAGTATAAAAAGGAAAACTAGATGGAGATGAAAATGCCGTCACACAAGATAAGATAAAATTTGTTCTCATGTACATGTATATATCATCAGCCCTAATTAATGGTTAAAATATTTAATTTCTTTTTCTAATCATCGGACAGACTGTCAACAGTACGACTTTTAATAGCTGTTAATAAAACATGTCTTTGAATCCCTCTAAACTATTTTTGAAAGAAAATATGGAAGAACAAATTCAGTACTACAAAAAAAAAAAAAAAAAAAAAAAAAAAAAAAAAAAAAACAGCTCGCAATTTGATACTTACAATGTATACGTTAATTCACATGTAAATACATTTATATAATTCTAAAATAATAAATATTAAATTCCTAACTTGCTGTCCTTCTCCATAAGTAGTTAAATAAATAAGAAAATGGGAAAATCTGGAATTAATACATGTATTTTGGACCATGTTAGCATAAAACAAGTTATTAATGAATAATACACAATTAAAAGCAATATATAATAGCAATTAATATTCAGATATCTGTAAAGAAATCAAGACAACAAAATGACTGAAATCTAGAAATTTGTTAAATTGATATCATCTACGTATGGAGGATGAACATATATTCACAAATTGATCAAAATAAACACCAAGGGAATGTTTATATAGAGAAAAATGTCCATAACATAGAAAACGCTATTCAAAAACAGCATACAAAAATGTCCATTTATTCATAATGACAAATAATTCTACAATATCTAAATTATGAGTAAGCATGCGATATGTCGAACTCAACACACTACAGGTAAGGCATTCACAAGAAAATGACGATCAAAATATTCACATACTACGATTCCACACTTGTACATCACTATCATTACCACTATACGGTGTACTGATATTGATAATCAGAAGTATCAGTTAAGCACATAGGGCTTCTTCAATTGAACTGTCCTGTAATGAATGATTAACATTTGTTAAGCATACAGTAGAAAAAAGAAAACGTAGTATCAAACGAAAGAAGTAGAAGAATATTCATGCAGTTCTGTTTTCTTCCTTTGGCAAACTCCTGTATACGATTACTTTTTTAAAATTTCATTTTAGATATAAATATACATTTACATAATTGTGTTTTATTTCCTTACCTTAGATGATTTCATTTTAGGAGTTCTTGTACAATAAAGGAATACTGAAAAGGAACACAGAATCACCAGTCCAAGAATTCCAAACACAATGAAAATGGAGTATCTGCTACCAGGATCGTCCCTAAAATTGTTAAAAATTACAGGTTTGACCGTATCATTGTTTTGGATTGTAAAAATAGAGGAAAAAAAATTCCAATTCCTGTGATACATGTAAAATAACCTGCATACATGCACGAGCTTCTTGTATTTGTTACATGCGCCTTTAAATTTAAATCTTTGGCTTGCACTATTTATACCTTCAAAGACATCTAATTGTAGACTTAGCTACTAACTGATGTACTTTTTCCTTTGAATATTTTCTCTTTGTATATGTTGAATGAGGAAAGCACTCTTGATCTATTTAATACAAAGTAAAGACATTAATGTAAATTTCCTTAAGAAAGAAAATAAACATTTTAAATACAAAAGAAATTGAAATAATAAATAAAATCATTACTAATTGTCTAAAAATATTACATTCGAAGATTGGCCCCTGTAATGGAAGGTATATTTAATTCATATCAAATAACTGTATTTGAGAATTGTTTTCGATTCACATTTTTATGACTATTTTATCTTACATTTTGTTCTGAGTCTCTTTTTAGCCTCTTTGTTTTTGCTTATTTGTGTCGCTTGTATCTTGTTCCTGCCTTACTTTTATTGCTCCACTTTTGTTTGATAAATTTTGTTTGTTGTTTTTTATTTTTATTTATTTTTTTTTTATTTAAAAAAAAAAAAAAGATTTTAACTTTTTATGCATTTTTGTTGTTTTTGTTTCCGTACTTATGCTTATCATTCTGTAAAATACTAATTCTATGCTTTTTAATACAACCTTATCCATTCTTTTTTTTGTTTAAGACCCTATGGCTGTTGTCGTGGGACTTCTTGGAACGACTCTATTAAGAAATGTACAGGTGAAAGAAATATAATCTTTTTAAAATCTTTTTCTCCATTTAAAATGCTTAGAGGTCAATGATACATTAATGTTATATATTTTAATCATAAAATGTCTTTCCGAATCATTCAAATTTTAATCAGCTTTGTAATTATCTGTGTTGAATATTTGAACAGAATGTAGCCCTGGATATTTCGGATTACACTGTGAGATGCCCTGTGAATATCCATATTATGGACCATTTTGTGTAAGGAAATGTTTTTGCACAGAATCAAAATGCAATGTTTCCTTTGGATGTTCACATCATTTCTCTGGTAATTGTGTATTACTATCTAATGCTATATTAAATATAAAGACAAATATATTATTTAAATTATGAAATAAGAAAATGTACTTTTTCAAAGATATTCCTTAATGTTCGAAAAAATCGTTTATCATTTTTGTGAATCACCATTTAGGTTTTCTTTTAGTTTTTAGATGCTTTTTCTTCATTTTTTTGTATCGATAAATACTCTCTTATACTATTTATACAGAAACTGTCTCAACGACCACCACGAATGAAGTGATTACTACAGAGGACAATATTTTCTTCAAATCTACAAGTGTGGATGATTTTGAATCGGTTCCAAACAACGAAAGCAGTAATCTCTATTTCCCTTATCCTTATATCATTGTAATTGCCATATGCACATCCTTCCTTGTTTTAAGCACAATTTTAGTGATATTTCTGATTGTTCGAAAGCACAGAAAGCACAAATCAAACACCAGTAACTCAGGGACTGATCTTTATCAGAGATCTGTTGATCAGTCAGAATCAGATTATACCTATCATCGATTGCATTCAACGAATGTATTTTCCGGTGTTTCAAATGTGACCATCACCTACGAAAAGTCATTTAAAACTTATTCAATAAAACTTCAGTCGGAGGAGGAGGAACCTCTTTTTACAAATGAAAACCTGGACAGTTACATGTATTACACTCAGTCTGGGGAAATTGACGGTGGCAGATATATACCAAGCTCTGCAACAGATGGGGATCGATCGATATATAACATTGCAGAGGAAGTAACCCCTACTTTTGATGAAACAGAATTTCATTGATGAATTTTGAAGATAACGGACAGAAGTCATGCTCAAAAGTCTAATTCCACATACGCATTGAGAGCA